GGATTATTTCAAATGGCTATTGCATGTTGAAAAGGTTTTTATAATCTTTTTCCACAGTATATTACTAACACATGGAACAGTAAAAACAAGATTCTTTTTTGAGGGAATTGTTTGAAGAGTATGATGTGATGATAAATTTGAAATGGAGTTCGGCAAAGGAAGTTTTTGTAATCAAAAATTTATTTATGTAGCAACTTTCGTTCCCCTTCATTTCCCATTCTTTTTGCGCCAAAAGCTATCTAGGAATGTAGACATTTTCAGTCTCTAAACACCTGGTTCTGTTCACAAATCAACGCGGACAACTAGGTGGCTGTTATTGCCCTCGCGATCAACATTCTCCAACGATAAACGTCTGCCGAACACTCGTCACAAACTCATTTCGACATATAGGATGGCACCGTCAAGCTTTTTCCAATGATTAATGAGCTCTGATAGGTAACACTCGTAAATAGTGCGGCAAGAGACCGTGAAAGTGATTTATTTCGTTGTTTTTAGCAAAGTTGTTACCTGGTGGAAAAAGCTTCTTTACAAGCGATTTCGTTGAGTCGCCCATCACTTCTAACACGGCATTTTCGACAACATCCCGGTTCTTCTCTACCCATGAGTCGATGTTGTAATCAACGCTACCCGCGTAGTGTTTGATGGTGAAATGTCTTACAGTTTGGCACCTATAGAGGAAAAGAGAACAATTATTTGGTGGTTCAGGCTTTTATATGGCAGGGTGAAACCTTTGTGAATGTTTAGCCTTCTTGAACTCGGGATACTTCGCCAAATTTGTGCAAAGCTTCTGGAGCAAAGAATGATCAGACCCATTTGGTACCACACATTCCTCTTCCAATAGCGATAGTAATCCCAGCGGCTGAACATATGGGATTATTTGGAGGAAATTCAAAATTGGGGGATATTAGAGGCAAGCCAGATTGAAAAATCGAGAATTTTTCTACGATATCAACTCTAAACCAAAGGAAATACATCCAAAAGTGTTTTCTATTGATGATACTGTGTTCTCTGGTTCTTAAGAGATACAATTCTAATATAAAACTTCTCCTAATTTTAATCTGATGAACTTTTTAGTCTCACCTTCTCGATAATATCAATCGTTGGTTTCAGATCAAGCGCATAATCAGTTTGAATCCAACGTATTCCTTCCTCCAGGTATTCGCTTTGTTCCCGAACGAACATAAAGTGATTGAAAAAGGCTTGCAATTTCTCATTGGTATAGTTTATGCATAACTGCTCGAAAGAGTTATTCTGAAAAATGAATTTCATCTCGCTTCCTCTCTCTTCACCATTGTTTTCTCTTTGCTTTTACCTGAACGATTTCAAAACCGGCGATATCGAGAACTCCAATGAAACGGTTGTAGATCGATTCGGTGACTAAACTATGGGAATAAAAAATGGAGCAGATATAAAAAACATTGCATATACATTTAGAGTTCTCTAAGAAAAGCTCCACAGCAATGAAGAGAAAGGGAAGGAACAGACGTTTGTTCAAGCAAAATTTCCTTTAGGTAAGAGCCGGCGATGATCAACTTATAGAATCCTAATTGATTGAATTTCAGTCGTAAGATAAGAAGGAAGATGTTTGGAAATGGGCTTAGAATCAACGGTATTTCATTTCCTACATCTGCAAGAGAAGAACTGTTCTCTTTAAAGAATACAAAACTTACTCATTTTTGTGTTCTCACTGATCGCCTCGTTGCATTTTTCCAGAAGCCATCGAAATACGCGTTCATACAGTACTTTAGCTAGCGCTGCTGCAGAGTAGACTGTCTGAAATACAAGTTCTGAACAGTTAGGATTAAATTTTGGACTTCTATTATTAGATTTCTATTCAAATAAAAAAATAGGATTGTGAGATTGGACATTAGACATAACTTTAACTTAAATTTATTTTAAAGTCGAGAAAACCAGACCTTTTGCATATTTTGATTCTTCCTTATTACATTTTCTCCTACTTTAATGCTTGGCTGAGTAAGTGCTTCGTTAAGGCGAGTGGATTTGACACCAAGCAACTTTGTCACAGCATCGATTTCTGTAGAAAGACGATATTACATAGATCTAGCACTTGCTACAGAGAGTAAG